ACATGGTTACGACACCACAGGTGTGCGACATACGCCCCTGTATATAATAATGAAAACTAAGAGTCCCATTACATCACGTACATACCTTTCAAGTGCTCCTCCAGTTCGCAGGCACTCGTGTGCGCGCTGGCGTGCAACAGCAGCAAATGTTGTCGCTGCTCCAGGCCTTCTACGAACAATCTCCACAGCTCCTGCACGCGCTCGCTCTCCGACAGGAACACGTCGGCGGCGTAATGGCCCGAGCGAGCCTGCGACGAGGCCGACTGGTGAAGCTGCTCCACCTTGACGCGGATAGTCTGTGTGCTCTTGCGGAACTCCTGGTGGTTGACCATCACCGGCTGCACCTCGACTAGGGTCTGCCCCATGGCGATGTGCGAGCGGAAGAACGACGAAGCCGTCTGCTCCAGCCAATCGACAACCTAGCAACGGTGGTAGTGCACGTGGACACACAGAACACAACAGCATACGGTGATGTGCACGAGCCCCGTAACCTACGTATGTAACCCAATGATGGTAACCAACAGAAGTATTCCAGCGAGACGTAGCATTCCGACTCTTACGCTTTTCACACGAGTGCGGGACGAGAACGAGTACAAATGCTCATTCGTCAGCCTGGTTCTGCAGGTTTGCATAAATGAATGCCACTCGGCCAGTGATTGGCCAGTCCAGGTGGGATTTGTCTTGTCCTCGTTTTTCTCAACAAGTTCAAAATGCCTCGAATGATGAGAGCAAAAGCAAATGGCTCCTTCGCTTCTTCCGTTCCATCTTCGCCTTATCAGTGTTATTGGGCCCAGTTCCCGTTTAATGTGCGAAGTTATTCAACACAATCAAACACACACACACACACACACACACACACACACACACACAAACAAACAAACAAACAATGCAGCTACGTACCTGGTCGACATTCTCTCTGAAGATGTGCAGCGCCAGGCACTGGTTGAGAGAGTTCTGACGCTCGGTGCGCTGTGCCAGCAAAGCATGGTACTCCTCGCTCACCTTGTCGGCGCCAGCTACCAGCAGCGGGTACAGAGACCCTATGTTGGACGTGAGCGCCGCCGTCGTCGTCGTGGAGACGCCCCCGGGGCTTGTGGGCGTCTGTGAGGATCGACGGCGTGCGGGCAATGTCTCTCTCATCAGCGACCCAACCAGGAACTCCACCTCCATTAGGCGCGATGCTGAGGTGACAGACAGGGAACAGCAGAAACAATTATCATTTGGTGCAGTTTTAGCGCTACTTGTATTTAGTGCTTTTTGGCGTTATGTTCATATTCCATTTTTTCGCACCAAGTTATTATTCTTTTTGTGGTATTCTCTCTCATCAGCAACCCAACCAGGAACTTCGCCTCCATCAGGCGCGATGCTGAGAGGACAGACAGGGAACAGCAGAAACATTGTTTGTTGTTTATTTATTATAAGTCGGATGTGGAGCCAATAGTATTTTTAAAAAGTAACGAGAAAGGACCAATAGGTTACAAGTTATGACTGACTCCATTAGGCGCGATGCTGAGATGACAGAGAACAGCAGGACAGCATCACCTGCAAACGTACACACTCCCCGCACCATTAGATCTTCTTCCTCTGTCCTCTGGCCATGTTTCTATATTTAAGGGGATGCATGATGCACTTTGATGTAAATGACTTACTCATTTCAGCCAGCGAGCCCTCGGCTAGGTCCTTCAATGTCGTGTGCACGGTGTCTAACTTGGTCAGCTGCTTCTGTGTGGATGGCCAGTCTCGACCAAGCTCAATCTAGGCAACATGCACACATGCACACACACGCACACACACACGCGCGTACCACGTACCCACAGAGGTATGGTATTAGGGACGTTAAAAAAGCAATGCACATTTTTGCCAGCGGTGAAACATGGCGCCATCTTGTTTAGAGAAAATGAGTCGGGGTTAGTTAAGCAATGCGAGCTACACGAGCTGCACTTTGCTCGAAATTTGGTATTCCCAAGCGTACAAACTAGTGCCAAGTGTGTGCTAAGGAAATGAAAGAAATCTCTTGCAAAACACTGTAAGTTGGTGTTGAAGTTTTCTAACTTTCGCGAAAAGTTTGGGTGCTCATTCCCAGACTCAAGATTTTTTTAGTTTTTTTTGCTATGTTCACATTCCTTTAAACACACACCCGGAATGGTTTTGTGGATGCGGCTATACTCTCATATCCACGCACATGTATACATGCACACAAATAAACACACACGCACATATGTGTACACACACTCAAATCTGTGGACAGCAACTGTTTCGCTCTGTTAGAGCTCCTCAGCACAAACATTAACATGTGTACATGCACACGCACGCACGCACGCGCACACACACACACACACACACAACCACACACATACACCAACCCCAGCCCCCCCCCCCCCACACACACACACTACAAGCGTGTACACAATGTGCGAGTACAATCCTGAAGAGCACCCAGTACATACCTCGCACAGGCGTTTCTCGACGGATACCAACACGTCGAGTGTGGCAAGACGCGAGTTGTGATAGCCCTCCAGGCCCTCCAGCAACTGTCCACGACGCTCCATTTGCTGACCAAACGACACAACTCGTTGCTGCACATGCAAGCACATGCCTGCAGAAGACACAGGATTTAAAAAACACAGCACGATAGCTGGCTTATCGACAGGTGCAGAGAATGAAGTGGGGTTGCATTTGAAACATTCAAGTTTGGATGTACGCGACGTGCGCACAAGGTGCAAAAGGGTTTTAGGGCAGCGGTTTCAGTCATGCACCAAAGGGTTAAGGGCAGCGGTTTCAGCCATGCACAAAAGGGTTAAGGGCAGCGGTTTGCTGTGTAGTGTGGTGGTTCGTAGGCAACAGCACAGCGCGATGGCCGCGGCGGCATACTCACTGCTGATTTGCTCGGTGGCATAATGGCCGGTATCCTTCATGTCGCGCGCATTGCTGATCAGCTGTGCCGTCTTGTCAACCACGCTGCGTGACTCTTCCTCGGCAGACGAATGCTCTTTTTGCAAAGCCTGCAGCAGCACAACGAGGATGCACGTGAACACACACACACCACACCATGTTTCTGGAGACAGTGGTTGTATTCTCCCTGTGAACAAAACTTTGTGATTTCACATACATGTGTATGTGTGTGTGTGTGTGTTTGTGTGTGTGTGTGTGTGTGCGCGCGCGCGTGCATGTGTGTGTGTGTGCGTGTGCGCGTGTGCGTGCGAACGTGTGTGCGTGTGCGTGCGAACGTGCATGTGTGTGCAGATGTGTATGCGTTCATGCATGTGCATACAAACACCTACTACAATGGTACAGAAAAAAGAGCGTACCTTGATCCCATCGAGTGTCTCGCACTGATCCAGCTGCAATGGCAGATAGCGTGGTGCGTACAGCTCCAGCCACGAGATGGTCTCCCGCGTCTCCGCTTCAAACTGCCGCAAGCTCAGCACCTGCTCCAGGGTGTTGCGACGCTCCGCTGCCTTGTTAACCGCCTGTAAACACACACACACACACGTGCGCACGCACACGCATGCACAAGACCAAGCATGCGTTGACAGGCGGTGAGACACGTCCACAGAACGACAGATGGACATGCGTACAGAAAGCCCATGGACAGACATTATGCCATTGCACGTGTACACATGACCCAAAGAAGAACGAGCGAGAAGAGATGCCTTTATGCCGGAGTATTACTTGCACTTGAGTATAACGCGCCAAAACCAAAAAAAAAGAAACCTCCAACCCTGACCAACACACAGACACACGCATGCACCTCCCCCCCCCCCCCCCTCCCCCCCCCCCCCCCCACACACACACACACAAATCCACACGCACGCACACATACACACACACACACACACATGGAACACTGCAAGCAGCATCAGCACAACGTACATGCGTGACTTTTTCCTGTACAAACTGGAGCAGATGGTTGGCAGCGGACGACAATGCAGACCAGAGACGCTGCTCTGCTGCCATTCCCCCGTCCTCTTCTGCCAACTCCATGGCAGCTGTGAACTTTTCCACAACCTGGGAAAACATACAAACACACACACACAGACGTATACACAAACGTAGACACACACGTATACACATACGTACACACACGGACACGCGTAAACACACACGGACACGCGTAAACACACACATACACAACAAAATACATGTGTATGCTCGTACATCAACAGTGCCATGTGCGCAGGCTTCTGCCACCGCGTCCGCTTTTCAACGGAAACCCGAGGCCTACGTCAGTCAATACACTACACACACAGGGACTGCACGTGAGCAACTAACCCGTCCGTAGCAGTAGTAGCAGTAGTATGGAGCCGTTTTCACGCTAGGCACATGCCCCACCCCAAAAATGGGGTATCATTGACAATACCCATTATTGGGGGTAAAAAAATTGAACACGTACCTTCTGGGAATCGTTCGTCAGTGTCTTTGAGCCTGTGAAGAGGATGGCCAGGCACATCTGGTCGTGCTGTTCAAGCTGGGTCTGCATACCGTCCGAGTCGTTGGACATCTCCACCGACTGGAACGACGACGTCAGAGCGGCCAGCTGTGCAAGATACTGTCGGGCGGACGGGAAACACAAGCGCACACGCACACGCACACGCACACGCACACACACACACACGAATAGTTGCAAGCCGTCACAGGAATGCGAGCCATGTCAAGAAAAGAACTGGCGAAAAACACACACACACTCACATCCAAGAAACCGGCACCCCTCCCCCAACACCCGCCCCTCCCTCACCCTCCTCCTCCCCAACCACCCACCACGGCACAACACATACCTTCTGAGATTGTCGGTAGAAGGCCGTAGCCAGTGACAGGAAAGTCTTCCTCTGGCGGACGCGGTCCTTGAAGTCACTCCAGCGGTTCTGCAGCGTCTCAGAGAGTCGTGTGAAGTCGGACGAGAAGAGCGGGTTGTCTCCCGCCAGGCTGTGCGCTTGTCCTAATATGGCGGTGACCGACTTGTCGCGGTACTGCAACGACGGAGAATGAACATACGGTGCACAACAACAGCAACAACAAGAGCCTGTAAGCAATGGAGATTCTATTTCCCCGATAGTAAGTCGCACTCGTTTGTAAGTCGCATCCCGATTCCCCATTCTCAGGTCTGTCAAATCAGTTCATTAGTAACACGTATCTGCACCTGCTCAAGTGCCTGCCACACACTAACCTCAACTCCTTCTCCAAACTTCCTGTGCTGTTCGTCGAGGCGTTCCACTTGCTCCAGTCGATCGCCCGCCTCAATGTGAGTGGCGAGAAACACGTTGGCCTCACACGACAGCCATGTGAGGGTGCCGTCAATGGTTTCCTCGTATTGCCGGAGGATTATTCCTGGAGAAGGGACACGAAGAAGAGAGAAGTTGGATTTTGTGGACTCAAAGAGCTGATAGCTAACGGATTATGCAAACCCAACAGTGATGTTATAATGGCAGTGACACATGCCCGCGCACACGCACATACGTATACACATGCATACATACATCCATACACATACTCACACGCACGCACTCACACCCGTGTGCACATACTCACACACACACACACACACACACACACACACACACACACACACACACACACACACACACACACACACACACACACACACACACACACACGTACACACACACACGTCGTCCACACACACGTCGTCCACACACACACACGCACACACGCATACTGACCTTGTTGCAGCTGCTCTTCACGTCGTTTCCATGCCAACTCGCATTTGTCGCGCAGCGTATTCAACTTGGAAATGACAGACTGTAGGGACAAACCGCATCCATCAGTTACAAACATCCCTATTACAAGAATACCAGAGTGTGATCCACAGTATAAGCCGCACCCCTACCCCCCCCCCCCCACACACCCATTTTTTGCCACGAAATACAGACATCTATCCTATCAATTTTATCACTGTTAATTTGATGGTGATCCTTGAAGGGTGGTGGCGTTCCTACGGATGCGGAAAACTCGGCCTCTATAGAGAAACCGAGTCTCACGCGAACCGTGATTTTTTTTATTTTTTTTAATTCGATCATCGGGGTATTAGCCGCACCCGCCTTTTTGCGGTGAATTTTGGGTGCTCAAAAAGTGCGGCTTGTACTCTGGAAAATACGGTACTTTAGCTAGGGTAATTCTACAGTAACGGTCACGATACAAGCTTGCTACACCTTGTTTAAAATTTAAACCCATTACTGGCCTGCAGACTATCGATCACATAATTAAATATAAGTTTCCGTGCATGGCGCGGTAAGTGAAGTTAGCAACCCACCAACAATTACATTCTTTACATATTTGCATGTTCTTGCCATAGCGCATCACGTGCCCGTGCAGAACACGCACTCCGAACTCCCGCGCTCCGGCACGGGACCGCGCGAAGCATGCGCATTACTCCGGCTCTCGATGCTGTTTCTTCTTCATTCTTGCTGCGCCAACAGTCAGATCGCTTGACAACCTTGGCCAGTTTTTTGAGCACTTTCCATTTCCGAGCAACCATGTCTGAATCTCTGTCAGTGAACGATGCCAAGAAAATGCGCTCTGTAGAGCTGCGAAAAGAACTGGTGGCCCGCAATTTAGACACGACGGGGACCAAACCCAGGCTGTTGACTCACCTGCTCGAGTCATTGGAGTTCACTGCAGTGCGCGAGGACTTGGCCACCCAGGCAGCCAAGCAGAACCTACCCGAGGCAGCTGCTGCTCCGTCCCTGAGGGACATTATCCGGGAGGAGGTCCGTGCTGCCCTTGGAAATCCGGCCACAGCTCCAGTCCCGCCGGCAGCTCACGCAGCGGCACCCCCACCGGCAGCTCACGCAGCAGCACCCCCACGGCAAGCACCAGCAACTTCGCATGACGTTCTGCGTGCTCCGCATTTGGCGGCCGCCATCTCACCGCCAATGCACCTCGCAGGTAAGAGAACGTTTTATGCAACCGTGCCGAAAGCCATTCACGATAAAGTAGTAACTGGCCAATTTGTTGAATTGGGCTCATTGTTGCCTAGCCCGTCCCAAGGGGACACCAGCCGCAGCATTCTCCAGATGGACCACGACAGCTTGTACGGCACAGTGGTCCTGGCACCGGCCAACAGGCCCTCCAGAAAGGTCGAGGGCATCGACACCTGGCTCGACACCTGGACTACATATTGCGCGATGTACGCCGCAGCACACCACTCCAGGGCCCCAGAGCTGTTTGCATACCAGCAGATTATCCTGAAAGTAGCCCGGAAATTTAGATTTGAGGCCGTACAGGAGTATGACCGATCATTCCGCTCACTCCTGGCCGCGGACCCAACCATGCGGTGGGACGCTATAGTCCAGGACCTATACACAACTATATTTGACGCGCCGGCATTTCGTCCCTTTCGGCCCACCAGCAGCAACGACGCTCGTTCCTTTCGGACCAACAGCAGCAACGACGCTCGTTCCTTTCGGCCCAACAGCAGCAACGACACGGTCAACAAAGAAGTATGCCGCCTCTTCAATCAAGGATAGTGCGCAAATTCATTCCAGCGGGTCGCACGTTCTGCAGACGCCTGTTCGACAGCACAGCAACGCTCCCTAGCCTAGATCTGGCTGTCGCGACAGAGCATTGCCAGCGGCATTGTTCTAGTCTCTGTATGTGGCCCCTTATGCTAATGGGTAGCTGCATTGGACGGCCCTAGCAACAACTGTAGTGTACATGTACATATTATTATACTATAACTATAGTAATGCCGATAATTCCTGTTTGGGTCATGTTGTATTTTTGGGAGAACGGTAGGGATCGTGGGTCAGGCCAGCATTGAGCCAAGTGCACCTACATGTGCTCACAAGCACCGAAGAGCTACGATGTCTGCCTCAAGAGGTATCACACGCCGTACTCATATCTCGGCAAATTGGATTTTTCGATTGATGCTCTTCGCCAGTTGAGGGGAAACCCCTTTCACGTGCTCTTCTAGCGACTGAGCACATGATAATTTCGAAGGCACAATGAGGTGGCTTGTGAGGCGCATGCAAGAATCATTGGCGTTCCTGTTTCTTCCTGGACACATTGGATCGACAAAGTAGACTCTCAGCTTTCCAGAGAACCCAAGATTGTACAAATCAGCGACGGGAGAGTGAAGTCATAAATTTTTGTGAACGACCTGAGTGGAGCCATTGCATGCGCACACACAAGCACTGGGAAATAAGGCAAGTTTCGTGTCAAAACACTGGGGGTGAAAGGGGTTAACCCAGGTTTACTGTATAGGCCAAGCGGTGGTGGCCCGCTGATGCGAATGTCTTTGATTGATGTGTTCCTCAATACGTCAGGTGATGCGGCCGCGAATCCGGCTAACTTTACATATTCATATGTGCAGTTCTGCTCAATGAAATCCAGTCATGTCACTCAAGTTTGCGCCCTGCACCAGTGCACAGCCCAGTGTTTGCAGGTCTGGGACTGCACAGCGCACTGCACCATTTCCCAGCCCAGTGTTCGCAGGTCTGGGACTGCACAGCGCACTGCACCATTTCCCAGCCCAGTGTTCGCAGGTCTGGGATTGCACAGCGCACTGCACCAGTGTACAGCCCAGTGTTCGCAGGTCTGGGACTGCACAGTGCCCTGCACCAGTGCACAGCCCAGTATTTGCAGGTCTGGGACTGCACAGTGACCTGTACCAGTGCACAGCCCAGTATTTGCAGGTCTAGGGCTGCACAGCGCCCGGCGCATACTTGATTGACTCGACTGGATATCGTTGAGCAGCATGGTAGGTACATTGGCCACAGTCTGTAGTACTGTAAAACCGGGAATTTCACTGGTGTAATATCTTCCGTATTTCCCAAAAAAATCAACAAATCGGCAGCGCGAAAATTTCTGTAAACCAGTTTTCCAGATCCAAAAATGCATTTTGCACGCTGTGTGACATGGCATGGTTGAATTTGAATTTTAGGTTGCGTTTTATTTTAGGTGAAAATTACCTGTACCGAAGTTACCGAAAATAAATCTCCACCGAAATTTTCCACTTTTACAGTAGCTTACCTGCAGTCCGCCCTGCGCGGCTGCAATCTCCGCCTCCACGTCGTCAAAGCTGGTGGAGCCGTCCACAATGTCCGCCTTGATGGCCAGCGAGCGATGATGCTGGGCCTGCTCCGACATCTGGCGGATCAGCGTGCGGCCAGCCTCCACTGTCTCTCGATGAGCGTCCATCACTAACCCAACCTGCGAGGAAACAGAAGCAGATCAATGTTTTGTAGTTTGCTATTTCGTGTACGTCGTGTGTACGTGGTGTTGGTGCATGCGCGTGTTGCTGTGGTGTGAAAAGCAGTCTTCGTCTTGAGTCTGTCATGTCCAGTTGTGTTTCGTCGTAGCGTCAATAAAGTCTTTCCAAATGTAATCAACTCGTTCGTCCATTGTCGGAGCGCGGAGATGGCACGGGGCTGGGAGCAGGAGAGAAAGTCCAGTTACAACAAATACACAACCAGGCACAAGACAGGGGAAATGTCAAGCACACATTCAACGATGAAAGAAGGAAGGACCATTAAGTTCCAGAGAGGTGAAGAGACGGAGACACAGAGAGGTGGAGAGACAGAGAGACGGATACATGGAGAGACGGAGAGGTGGAGAGATGGAGAGACAGAGAGGTGGAGAGACAGAGAGACGGAGAGACGGATACATGGAGACGGAGAGACAGAGAAACGGAAAGAGAGATGGAGATACAGAGGCAGACAGAGAGGTGGAGAGATGGAGAGACAGAGAGGTGGAGAGACGGAGAGACAGAGAGACGGAGAGACAGAGAGACGGAAAGAGAGATGGAGATACAGAGGCAGACTGAGAGACAGATCAACAGAGAGGCAGAGAGGCAGAGAGAGAGACTCAAGTGGATCTCTACCTGTCTTAGCTTCTTGTCCAGCTGATCTTGGATGGCCGCGGACGTCTTTAGCTTCTGGAACTTTGCATCGTCCTTGAGGTCAGTTTCGAGGCGAGTAAGCTTGATGGTGAGCTCGTCAGAGTTGCGATGGAAGAGCACAGCCACGCTCAGACAATGTCCTGCATGGACAGGCACAGAGCACAATGTCGGATGATGGCACAAGGTATGCTGCATTGGCCTTCCCCCACCCATTTTTCAACTCCATTATCACGTTCGCTTCCATGTAATTGGGCGTGTAGCCCGTGTGTACTTGCAAATTCGACATTAAGTAAACCAATGCAATGCAATGTATACACAGCAACTCAACAGTGCATAGACTGCAATGCATGAGAATAAGAACAGTCTAGGCTAGGAGGCTGACCCCCAACAACCAGGCTAGAATTTCACCAAGCTCTCTCTCTCTCTCTCTCTCTCACCTTTCTCCTGCAGGCCAGCCCAGCTGAGTTTCCATTGCGTGGTGAGCAGCATGGTCATCTTCTCGTTGTCGTCCAGTGTCAGGCCCAGCTGCTGACGCAGCGTCTTGCCAGTCTCACACAGCTGCAGGCCGAGAGCGTGCGACTTCTCCGCCTTGCCGGAGAACTCCTGGTGTTCAATCTGGGTGTTTGTGAAGAAGACAAACCAACAACACATTCTATTTCGGCCAACCAACATCTAACCCTGAAGGGCTATCATCCTTGTTATTTTTTCTTGATTTGAGATACTATAAAGTTGTACAATGTGTGAGTACTAATATTTGGAAAAGGTGGTACGGGATTAGTACTCCGCATGCATTTCTAATGCAATAATGGCCAGTTGCAATCATGAGGATGTGGATGTTAGTTATAATAATATGAGCCGTGATCAGCAAAAACAGACCTACAGGTCAAATTTTTCAAAATGGGTTTTTTGCTGGATATTGTTTGTTTGTACACAAGCAAACAATTTCCAGCAAAAAAAACTATTTTGAAAAATTTGACCTATAGGTCTGTTTTTGCTGATCACGGCTGATATAGGGATACTTAATGGCACTCAATCATAATAGAGTTACAATATCATCACAGTAGTGCACAGTGCGTACGAAATAGCACTGTCGAGTTAGACTATGACATCATTACACATGAATTGCACTCGGAGGTGGAAGCGTGGACCAAGCAGACCAGCACAATGGGTGAAGATTATGACATCATCAGAATGACATCATTGCACAACATGCAAGCAGTAAAAGACGTCCCTGGATGATATCGACCAATTGCTCTTGTGCGCGAGGACACAAACGACATCAAAGAAAGGAATCCCTTACCTGCATTTCCCGGACGGCCTCAATGCCAGATCCAATGTTATCCTGGTGCGTAAGCAGAGACAGGTACACTTCCTGTAGCCACTGCAGGATCTTGCTCACTCCACTCTCACTGGTGAAGACCTGAATGTGAGCGTGCACAGAGCATGCAGAGAGCGTGCACAGAGCGCAGGAAATGAGACATGTGAGCGTCCAGCAGTTGACATTGACACAGTGACATCATAATAGACTGTCAAAGTCTGTCTTGATCTACTGGTCAAGGATTACTACCGAGGACCGGGGACGGGGGAGTGAAAGGAATCACAATGCTGTGAAAACTATCTAAGGCGACCGCTCACAGGACTGTCCAAACGTGATCCCTGTGTACAGGTGGTCGCCTTATCCAGGGTTATTTGACCGGAAAATAGCATCTCCTCATCCTAGTTGTGGTGGTCTTCTGGGCCAGGTTGTTGCCTCGACAGATTTTTACGGAACAGGTCCTCCCGGCCTAAAATATTTCTTGAAGTTGCCACTGTCATGCAACCAGGAGGAAGGGTCGAGGGATGGGGGTACAACAGGGTGGGGGGAGTACAACAACAAACAAACCTGCTGGCATTGCTCCAGGGTGAGTTGATAGCGTGATGCTCCCTCTCTGGTCTCCCTCTGCTTGCTGGTCTCGATGCGCTGGATGACAAGATTGGAGTTGTTGAGTGCAGCCGAGTAGTCAGCTACCTGAGAGCTGCTTTCCAGCGTACCTTCAAATCAGACAACAGAGAAAGTCAGAGAAAGGCATTGTCGTGTATAGTGTTTGTCGCCGTATTGTCTCTCTCCGTACTGTCTCTCTCCGTACTGTCTCTCTTCGTACTGTCTCCCTCCGTATTGTATCTCTCCGTACTGTCTCTCTCCCATCTGTAGTATGAGCATGCTCGTTGTAAATAAAATGAGTCCTTGTCTTGTCCCGCAATGGACTCCTGCGTGGCTTGCAGGCCGAACATAACATGGTGGCAGCGGCGAGATTCGAATCCATGCCATCGAAATGACGGGAGAGGCCTAACACAACAGGATTAACGAACACAGTCTGCGCCCCTTCAAAATAAAATATTGCGACAGAGCTTTCGGCCAAGTTCCACTTTACTTCATCCTCAACCCTTTACCACCATGTGCTCTAGCCGAACCAATGCACGAAGCGTAAACACACCAGCACAGCAAGGAAACTTCCAGTGACCAGACTGGTCATGGTGGTGACGGGTTGAGAATGTAGCAAAGTGATGCGACTCAAGGAGTGAACAAAAACAAAACCCACATTCCTTACCCACTGTGTCGGGAATCATGATGTCGTCGATCGCCTTGACGACAGCGGCGTAACAGTCCGACATGGTCGAAAACTGGAGAAACAACATATCAAACACACGAGAGATTGACACACCTGTCGCTGAGCAGGGTGTGTGCGTGGAGCCCAACTCCCTGCGATGCACGATGCTTTCCAACGGCATACGGAATGGGAGAATTTAAAGAAAAGAAAAAAGGACCAAGAAACTACAAGTTACACTATAATGTCCACTAACACCTCCACGGTTACTGGACAATCAGCTCATGCGACAACATTGCACATTGGTCAGTGTCGTGCAATGTTATCGCATGATCTGATTGTTTAGTAACTGGTGGTGTTAGTGTACAGTATAGCATAACTTGTAGTTCCTTGGTCATTTTTCTTTCCTGTAAATTCTTCCATGGCTCTACATCCGAAATGAGAGAAGCTTGCAAAACGTTCCCGCAGTTCGTTCAAGGTTACATAGCATGCTGTTACCTAGACAACATAGATCAGGTTACATGCTGTTACCAAGACAACATACTCTAATTTCAGAAATTCTCGGTGCTCAATATTCTCGGTACGAGGGCAAAAGGTCAGGTTAGGTGAACAGAAGTTGTAGGTACAGAGAAGGTAGCACTTTGGATATTGGACTCACGTTTTTCTTCTCCACAAGACAGAACTCCGTCAGGTCGGTGAGTCGCTTAGTAGCCTCGTCGACATCAGTGGGCAGCGCCACCTCGTCATCACAGAAGTCATTCACATCTTCCATCGCCTTTATGTGCTCCTGGACACTACGCTGGAATGCAATGGACTCGATGAGCAGCGTACCGCGCTGTCCAAGACGGCCTATGAACGCTCCAACCTGCACATACACACACACACGCACACACATGCATGCATGAGCACGCGCACACACACACACACACGTACGCACGCATGCATGCACGCGGGCGCGCGCACACACACACACACACACACACACACACCAGGTTTCAAAGAAGAAAAAAATGTTCAGAACTTAATGAGACAGTTTCCTTGGAGACAATAAAGTTGTAACACTCAGTACTAGTTGCACAAACTTCAGACTCTTGAACAACATGGCTTTCAGAGGCAAACTTCCGTGCATTCTATTCAGATGAAATACAGGCAAGTGTGGGCAAGAATAATGAATTATGTACAGGAAAGAGGTGATAAAACAGCGCACAGCCGAATAGCTGAAAACAATAACGATAAAATGTGTGGCCCATGCACATAGAAAGAATGACAAACAGGTGCTAGTGTGAAGAAACCTCAAAAAAGCGTGAAATCATGTAGTGCGATGACAAAGGACAACCAGTGGACACAACTAACTTAGCGCGATGCATAAGGATCATTTCCCTGCCATTATAGGCTTTGCAGAGCAACTCCACTACTGACTACCACCGTACAAAGCACAATGATACTAGCTCTGCATAAAAAAAAGGTCATGAGCTGTGCATGGCCGACCATACTACGAGCATGAGCTTTGCATGGCCGACCATACTGACATTTGTGCTAGAGCATGTTGTGCCTGCCAGACATGGGACAACTCGCCCTGCAAAACGGCACAGGCAATCTTCGATGAACACCTCCCATTCACATCAGGGTGTTAGAAAGCTTATAATAGAGACTTCTTTGACCACCCCCCACCCCACCCCAATCCCCGTTACTACTACCCCCCCCCCTACCACCACCACCCCCCCCCCCCTACCACCCCCCACCCCCCCCCCCCCCCACACGCCCCTAGTCACAGCAAGACCATCCCCGAGCATATTGACCAGAACAAAAACCTGAGGACCCCAAACCGGGGGGGGGGGGGTAAACATCCAAATTACGAGGTACCTTGCCCTCACCTTGACAGCCAGATCGTCCAGGAGGGTGTTGATGGTGGAGGTGGCATAGTGGCTAGTGGCGAGCAGCTGCCCGGCACGCCTACGCAGCTCCTCATAGTCCGACCGCACCTGCACAAGCATACGCGTACACACACCCATTTGAATTACATACTTTGGAATTCTCATGTTTATGATTCTTTTCAGTCTCTCATACTATTTTATTCGTTCTTAGCAGGAACCGGAGGCTTTTCTTCTGGTCAGAAGGCAGAACTGCCTGAGCTCGAAACGAATTCAGGTAAATGAAACAAACAAACGAACCTCCATGGCACTCTTGGTGAAGACCTCGTGAGACTCCCGCAGCCTCTCCGCTTCGGCCAGGTCGCCGCCGAAGGTCTGAACGCCGTAGAGATGTGCCCTGCCCAGCTCGGAGATTGTGTTCTGGATATCCGTGGACATAGTGTTGAGGCGCAGCAGCGACACGCACTGCTGTAGCTTGCCCTGGCGCTCGGACCAGAGTGACTGCAGTGAACGCTGTGTAGGGCACAGGCGCACGTGTGCACATGATGCAAGCACACGCACACGCACACACACACACACACACACACACACACACACACACACACACAAACATACACACACGCACACACATACGTCCACACGCACACACACACAAACACACACAAACGCCCACACGCACACACACGCGCACACACACACACACACACACACAAACACACACACGCAGTGCGGCGCTTGTGACTTGTCATACATGCTGATTTCAATTTAGCATATAACAGATGAAAGGTGGCAGCCAACCATGGCCAACTAAAAACCATAATCTAAAATGAGAGGGAAAGGACACAAGAGGAAGAAGAAGAGAATGAGGGGCGACAAAGTCACAGTGAGATACAGTCAACTTGGCTAATAACGACTGCGGATATAACGACAATTCACGAATAACGACAGAATTGTCATGCTCAGAGCAAAGTCCCATCCAACTGTAATACATATAATGGGACTTCGGGTAAAACGACACTTCGTGAATAAGGACACTTTTCTAATGCCCCGCCAAGTGTCGTTATACGCAAAGTAGTTGACTGCACACTTATAAGTAACGCTACCTGCTTGCTGCGTAGCGCCTCCAGTTGGCTCTTGACGCGGGCCATGGCCTGCAGTGTGTCCTGTGTGACGATGGCGCTGCCGTCGGAACGCTTCTGATGACCGGCCGTCTGTAAGGACTGCAGCAGGTGATCACCTGCACAATGCAAACACGAGAGGATTTCACAAAAAAACTACTGAAAACCAGGCAGAAACTCAGTCTAGTATGCAGCTGTTGTGTGCTCAGTCAATGAACATTTCCCCTCAATGGCTGCAGGACATCACGCATAACTGGAGCATGGCATCACGTGACAGATAAAAACGGATGGATTTCACCCCAAAACACATGGGAAAGTTCCCGGGAAACCATTCGAGACTTGTGCACCGTCATTGAGTTCACCTTGAGTTAACACCTTCGCCAGAGAAAACGAAAGGATTTCACCCCAAAACCCATGGGGAACATCCAAGATGTTTTTTTATTTTATTTTATTATTTTTACAATGATCACAGCTCACAGGCAAAGACAAAAAATTGCATCGTGGGAGCATAGTGGTGAGGTTTTTTTGCCCTCACCCAACCTGAGGTCTCAGCGTCATGGGGACATAAAACGCACCAAAAAAAGAAGAAGAAAAGAAGAGAGAGAAGTGACAGGTACATGATACTGTAGTATTGGCGCACCGTAGCGTAGGAGCACGTGACACTTTGCATGCATGACCTGTCATCTATAGAAACCTGTACGCCGGCCTGATAGACACGCTTTTTGCACACCACAGTCAATAGCCTGAATGCTTCACAGATTTTATTCTTCCTCCTGCCGCCACTCTGTCTGGTCCACACACATAATAATAGATATCACTTTTCCTACACTGTCTCCCTTGCTTTAGCAATTAGTTATGGATTCCGTTACACCGCTGGCGTCTCTTTCTCTTTCTTCATTCGCTACCTAAACATAACGTTTCCATTGTTTCTCTTCGATATTCTTTCCGCTAGTTCTCGCTGTCTTTTCCCGTAGTCTCGATCTTTCTGCCGCAAAGCCCGCTGTTCTCCCGCTAGCTATTCCGTACTCTACGCTGTCCATCTCGATCTAGCGATCCTTCTCCCTGCTCCGCTGCGCTGTTTTATCGATCTCCCCGATAGCTAACTTCCTCTATAAATTGCTAGTGTTCACAATCATTCTTTGCCTTTCCGTGATTCAGACCAAGAGAAGTACGTTCCCGAGAGTTAGGCTCTCTCGACCCCGAGTTCAACTGTGAAAGTCTGCGACTGTGTCGTAGCATTGATTGTGATCGTAGTTTAGAGAGAGAGACTTTGAGTGCATGAACTGTTGATATCGCCGATATCACACTGGTGGCAGCGGTGGTTCGTCCTCTACGTGCTTTCTTCTTTAGTCCTCTTGCTGTCTCGGTCGCTACTTGCTTGCTTCTCTGTCCACTTAGCGGTCCTCGTTCCTCTTGTCCTGAATCTCGTTCACCACCTGCGCTCCGGTCACCATGGCTCAACCTGCTCCTGCTGGTGCTGCTGCTGCTGCGCCTGCCCCCGTCCCGTGTGTGCCTCCTCACGCTATTATGCCAAACAAATTTGCTGGTTCGCTGTCGGACAGCTGGCCGACGTGGCTCAACCACTTTCAGCAAGTGGCTACCATCAATGCCTGGACGCCCGCCGAGCAGAGTCAGTTCATGGCAATATCATTGAACGACGAGGCTCAGCTTTATTACCAGTCGCTGCCCCAGGCCACCCGACAGGGCCCAGTCGCTGCTCTCATTCAGGCGCTCCAGGACCGTTTCGCGCCTGCCCAGCGCGTGGACCTACACCGCGCCAATTTCAAGGGCTCACACCAGTCCAAGGAGCAACCACTGGGCTCCTTCTGCGAGAACGTAAGACACTCTGCACGCCTTGCCTACCCGGCCATGCAGCCTGCTGATTTGGATGTCCTCGCAAAGGACCAGTTCGTCCAGGGCCTGGATTCGCGTGCCATGCGGATCCGGGTCCGCGAGCTGAACCCCGCCACGCTAGACGACGCTCTTCGGGCCGCGATGCAACATCAGGCAATCCAACGCGCGGAGACTGCCCCGGAGGAGCGCCCGCCAACGTTGCCCGCTACTTTGTTGATGGCTTCGTGTGCCGTTACGGTGTACCTCTCGCTCTCCATACCGACCAGGGCCCTCAATTCGAGTCCCGACTCATGCAGACCGTATGTAAGCTGCTGGATATTACCAAGACCAGGACAACCGCCTATCACCCACAGTCGGATGGCATGATAGAACGTTTCAATCGTACGCTTGAGAAGATGCTCTCCGCCTGTGTCACCGACCATCAGGAGTGGGATTTACACCTGCAACGGACGATGTTTGCGTACCGGTCCTGCGTGCATGCCTCCACCCAGCACACTCCTAGCCGTCTCATGTTTGGTCGAGAACTGGTGCTCCCTCTGGACATCATGTACGGTTCACCTCCACGCCCACATCCGGACTACCCGCTCTATGTCCAGCAACTGGAAGCGTCCCTTAAGACAGCCTTTGCTAATGCCCGCCAGTTGAATGCACTCGCCCTCCGTCGCCAGAAGAAGGGTTATGACGGCACCGTCCACACAAAGCCACGTCTCCAGGTCGGTGCTGAAGTGTCCGTCTTCTCGCCCGTCGTCCCGAAAGGAAAGTCGCCCAAACTACACAGCTACTGGTCCGGCCCGTTCGTTGTCCGTAAGGTGCTGGACTCTGTCACTGCCACCATCGAAGACGCCAGCAAGGGCCAACGGCTGACGGTCCACGTAAACCGCCTCAAGCCGTATATTCGGCCGCCTGAAGTGCCAGTCGCTCCTGCACAGTATACGGCCCAGATTAACCCGACCTGCGATGACGACCTACCCGTACCGCTGGCTGGCCCGCCGCCTCGCTATAACCTCCGGCCTCGGAATGCACTCCAGCGACCTCACCGCTATAGACAACCATAAATTGTAAGATCATTTTAAACGTCATCGTAAGACACCCTTATCTATGTTGTTTTCCCTGCTTCATTTTTCTTTCATGTTTACTACCTGTATACTTTGAACACGAGGGCGTGTTCTCAAGAAAACAAGGTGTGGTGTAGTATTGGCGCACCGTAGCGTAGGAGCACGTGACACTTTGCATGCATGACCTGTCATCTATAGAAACCTGTACGCCGGCCTGATAGACACGCTTTTTGCACACCACAGTCAATAGCCTGAATGCTTCACAGATTTTATTCTTCCTCCTGCCGCCACTCTGTCTGGTCCACACACATAATAATAGATATCACTTTTCCTACACTGTCTCCCTTGCTTTAGCAATTAGTTATGGATTCCGTTACACCGCTGGCGTCTCTTTCTCTTTCTTCATTCGCTACCTAAACATAACGTTTCCATTGTTTCTCTTCGATATTCTTTCCGCTAGTTCTCGCTGTCTTTTCCCGTAGTCTCGATCTTTCTGCCGCAAAGCCCGCTGTTCTCCCGCTAGCTATTCCGTACTCTACGCTTTCCATCTCGATCTAGCGATCCTTCTCCCTGCTCCGCTGCGCTGTTTTATCGATCTCCCCGATAGCTAACTTCCTCTATAAATTGCTAGTGTTCACAATCATTCTTTGCCTTTCCGTGATTCAGACCAAGAGAAGTACGTTCCCGAGAGTTAGGCTCTCTCGACCCCGAGTTCAACTGTGAAAGTCTGCGACTGTGTCGTAGCATTGATTGTGATCGTAGTTTAGAGAGAGAGACTTTGAGTGCATGAACTGTTGATATCGCCGATATCACAATACGAAGTTAAGCATATTTAGCCACCTCACCTTGATTCAACACTCCGGCAGGCGTCTCGCTGATGTCATCGTGCTGCTTCTGATGACGGCGTAGCATTGTCTCGGCCGCCGACAGGTCATCGGCCACACGGCTCTGACTCATCAAGTCGAACAGCTCGTCAAGACGGGCAATGATCTCGTAGCTGTTGTTCAGGAAGCGTTCCAGCTGTGGGGGCGAAATATTGTACATTGTATAATTATGATTTAATTTTGCAGACGTGCGCACACACATGCGCGCACATGCAAACACACACACTCATACTCCTGTGCGCGTGCATGTTTGTATGTGTGTGCGTGTGCCGGTGTACGTGCGTGTGTAAGTACCTTCATTCTCATTGAGATCCACTCGTCATGGTTGTACGGCAGAACACCACCCAGGTCCGTGGTCATCTGTGACATCTCCATGTACTTCTCAAGCTTGCCTGTGGACGACAGGTAGACCACCTGTATACCACCACCGCACGCATTCATGCACACACACACACACACACACACACACACACACACACACACACACACACACACACACACGTACACCGAGGGAACATCCATGTGATCACATGAAAAGGGAAACTTAGAAACAAAGATGCGAAGAGGTTCCACGGGTAAAGCAATCAGGATGGCATGGAAGGGTTGAGTTGGCATGGCAAACATGGAAGGGGTGGGTTGGCATGGCAAACATGGACACCACACCAGTACAGTACCTCAAAGTCGATATCTTTTGTCTCTCGCCGCAGACTGACACCGGTGCTGTGCTTCTGCAGGAACTTGGTGGGCTGCACCACGTACACCGCATCCACCAGACCTCTGAAATAGCGCTGGAGAACCTGCGGAGTACATGGACACATACACGTACACACACACACAGACCACACACACACACACACACCACACACACACAAACATGCACAAACACACACACACACACACACACACACACACACACCAACATTCACAAACACACAGACGTTTTTCAGACACCCATTGCGTTTTCACAGGCCAGTGTAAGACCACTGTGAGCGGGTGATCTGCTTGCGGGGCAAAGCAAGCTGCATAACAAGGTGTTACTAAAAGTCTAAAACAATTGGCAAGAAGAAGAGAGATACTTAGTATAGAACCAAGAGTACATAACCCCCAAGAGTGTGCAACTCCAGCTATGGGGTCTGCAAGGGCAGAACTTCACATCACGTGATGAACCCGTACACATTATTTGCACTCTGTGCATGATTGATACAGGGTTGTACGGAACCCAGCTTTGAGTTCAACTGTTACTCCCTTGTGGTCACTTTGCCACTGTTTGCCAGCGTAACCTTTTGAACCATGTCACGTGATGTGAAGTTCTGCCGTCGCAGCGCTGTATAGAGGTTGTGCAGGCAGTTGGACACTCTTGGGGGGTATGTACTCTTGATAGAACTAAGAGAGGGAGATAAGGGGGGGGGGGGGGGAGGGCACATGTCGGGGTTTTAGCAAAAGTAAGATTTCATCCCCGAGCCAGGCCAAGTTCATTTGGGAGGGAGGCAGCTCCCGGGAACTCTCTTCGCGTTCCCGTAACGTAAAGAAAATCTGTTCTGCTCTACCTTTCACGTAGAGAAATCACGTGAAATGTGTACTGGGAATCTCCCCTTCCATATTTAGCAGTTTTCTGCCTGCATTTGACTGATACCCAGCAGACCCGTACACATTTTCTTTGCGTGTGCCACAACGTAGAGAACCTCATCTACGCGTAGAAATCTGGACCCGAAACACGCGAAGCCGTAGACTCTAACCCAGACTCCTGCTCTCTATGTGATTTCTCTACGCTTCACGGATATCAGAACTGTTCTACTATGCACATAGTCAATACCAGTGCCCCCCTCCCCCCCCCCCCCCCACACACACACACAGCTGCCACACAGTGAACATGTTCTTCCGCTGTATTTTTTGTTGCTACGCCAGTGCATGCATACGCGCACGCACGCGAGCGTACACACACACGCACGCACGCACATACACATGTGCACGCGCACACATGTTCTTTTGTTGCCAGTGCACATGTGTGTCCACATGTCCTCGTGCTTCCAGTTGCTTGTGTGCGTGTGCGTGTGCGTTTTTGATTGATTGCGTGTTCTGTATGTACATACGTCTACATGATCATCAAGGCGAGAGACGGTTTACCTGCAAGACCAGCTTGATGTTACTCCAGGAGGCTGACGACTGGCGCATGTCCACGACGAAGCTGAAACCCAGTTCCTGCGTGTCCAGGCTAGGGATATGAACCAAGTACGTCAACAGGTATTTCAGCTCGTCCTTACTGAGCGCAGCCACGCTAACTCCCTCCGATGGACAAGGTAACGTGATTATAGCGCCACCACGACGATCTCGACCACCCGTTAGCAGCGCAATCCTCTGTCGCAGCTGCGCCTCCAAGTCTTCCGCCTCTAGACTTTCCGTCGGTAGCGGGCTATCTCCTCCACCTGCTGCGCCAGCGAACGACGCCGAGGGAGAGATGGCTCCTTGCTCCGTCGGGTCTCCATCTGCCTCGTCGCGATCCAGCCAAGAGCGCCGACGGCGAGCATCGTAACTGGCCATCCTGCTCAGCTAGTGCAGCGAACGAAGCTCAAATGTTGAGCACACACACCAGCGCAAACAGCGCGGGCTCTCGCCCAAAGCCTCTCTCTCCAGCGAGCGATAAACGCTCGCCAGAAGCAGTGCCCACTCTAGCCTAAGTCGTGAGAGAGTGCGACTCCATGGCTCCCCTTCAGGCGGGGGCCAACAGCAGACACAGAACGAAACGCACAAATTCCGCCAGCAACGATACGATGTTCCCAAATCAATTTGACACACAGCTAGCGAACAAGCTGCCAAATGCAACTAAACTGGCAATGTCAGTTTTCGGAACCTGCACGAACGCTAGCAAGATCACCACTCCAGCTTTCGCTTCTACTGTTCTAGACTCTTGTGTCGCTCACACACTCACGCGCGCACATGAAAGGGAGAGAAACTCTACCTCTCCGGAACACGGTCAAAGAACACAAACAACACACAAGCCGGCGTACCTTCCTGTGACACAGGATACTCCGCGTTGAAAACACGGTACTAGAGTGGTCAGTGTACTGAGTCTGTGCATGTACCAAGATGTACCCAGTGGTAGTACACAGGTAGATCCGACATTCACTCAGTGAGTGACTCAGTCAGTGCTCTCTTCCTCGCTCTGAACCGTGAACGCACTCTACTACATGTACAATCTTTAGTACTTGTAGATCTACTATGTCTCTACCCTACTCTCTACTCTAATCTGGACGTGTAGCGCACTTGTCTCATCTGCCCTACTGCCGTACTGGCCTGATCGATAGGGTAGTGCCAGTACAGTCAGTAGTAGATTCTACACACTTCTACACTCCAGAGTCCAGTCGTGTCATGTAGTATTCACCTGACAGTGACAAAAAATGTGTCATCGATCGTCAAGAAATGCGAAAGTGCAGTGCTTTTGTGCTAGAACGTGCCAGCGACTCGTGAATCACGACACCCCATTCACACTCGACCTCACAGTTGAAAGAATGAGCAGATGTGCTATCGCCGGTGCTTTTCTCTGATTGAACTGTTTCGTCCAGGGAGTCGTAAAAGCCCGGGAGAGGACACGGGATGCGCGCACGCGGACGATGTTTGCCTCGGCCAGAAAGTGAAGCACGCTAGGCCGGCGCGGCCGGATCTGCTCGATCCACGGCGCTGTGCTCGTCTTCAGGGCAGGGAGTCCTAAAATACCAATATTTTACAACTCGTTGTTGACACCATTATCCGAAACTGGTGGCGAAGGAAGGATAAACATGATTGTATGTCTGTCAGACTCAGTACACACGGTACAGGGGTGGGGAGTTGAGTGTGTGTGTGGGGGGGGGGGGGAGGGAGGCGTGTGTATGTGCACATGTGCTTGTACTTTTGTGTGTGTTTGTACAGTGTTTGTGTGTGTGCTTGTGTGTGTGCGCGCGAACGTGCGTGTGCATTTTTGTGCACAATTCCGTTATGAAGTACAAATGATAGGTTTACCTTTTGTACACTCGCCAAGACTTCCGTTTCCTAAACGGCTCAAGTCACCGCGTACTCAGTATACGAGTAGAAAAGTGGTGAAATTATCAAGATTTATAAATAACGACCTGCAACCATGTACAATGTAGATAGATAGGGAACACACATTGATTGTTTTTAAAAGAATCCAGGCATTATCATGAATCATGGAACGAGTGCGTAATAATGCTCTATGTTGCGTTTTGACGATGCTGAAGGAAGGGAGCCGTTGCGATTCACTCACAACACACGCACAGAAGTCCACTCGATTGCAATTTCAGTGCAATTTCTGACACAAATTCATAAATCCACGAGTACGCCGAGGAAGCTCAGCGGATCTCCACAAGAACTTTCGCCCATCACCTGCAATGGAAAATGGGCTGTATGATACGACCAGCGGCTAACACGGGAAGTGGCGTCATTTTCCACAAATCTCGTTTTATTCACAACCATTTGACTGCAATTCAGTGCAATTTCTGCCGCAAATTCAACTCCACGAGTACGAGGAAGCTCAGCGGATCTCAACACGAACGTTCGCCCATCACCTGCAATGGAATATGGGCTGTATGATACGACCAGCGGCTATTCACGGGAAGTGACGTCATTTTCCACAAATCTCGTTTCATTCACAACCATTTGACTGCAATTCAGTGCAATTTCTGCCACAAATTCAACTCCACGAGTACGAGGAAGCTCAGCGGATCTCAACACGAACGTTCGCCCATCACCTGCAATGGAATATGGGCTGTATGATACGACCAGCGGCTAACACGGGAAGTGGCGTTATTTTCCACAAATCTCGTTTCATTCACAACCATTTGACTGCAATTCAGTGCAATTTCTGCCACAAATTCAACTCCACGAGTACGAGGAAGCTCAGCGGATCTCAACACGAACGTTCGCCCATCACCTGCAATGGAATATGGGCTGTATGATACGACCAGCGGCTAACACGGGAAGTGGCGTCATTTTCCACAAATCTCGTTTCATTCACAACCATTTGACTGCAATTCAGTGCAATTTCTGCCACAAATTCAACTCCACGAGTACGAGGAAGCTCAGCGGATCTCAACACGAACGTTCGCCCATCACCTGCAATGGAATATGGGCTGTATGATACGACCAGCGGCTAACACGGGAAGTGGCGTCATTTTCCACGAATCTCGTTCCATTCACAACCATTGACTGCAATTCAGTGCAATTTCTGCGACAAATTCAACTCCACGAGTACGAGGAAGCTCAGCGGATCTCAACACGAACGTTCGCCCATCACCTGCAATGGAATATGGGCTGTATGATAAGACCAGCGGCTAACACGGGAAGTGGCGTCATTTTCCACAAATCTCATTTCGTTCACCCCAACTCAAATAAAAGTGAAGTACAATTAGGGATTTATCTTGCATTTCCTTCGCCTCAGAATAAATTAACTTCGATAAACTGAGAGAGAATGAGTGAGGCAGCTGGAAGAATTGAGGATGAAAATAGAGATCAGAAGACTCGACGGAGCAATCGTCTCCGTGCTCTAAGAGAAATCGGAGAATGTCCCAATTAGTATTTCAAGAAGACATCACAATTTTCGAAAATTATAATTTCCTTGCCTCGCGACACCGTTCCCTGGCAGCGTTCCCCGGCAGCGCGAGGCAAAGATGTTTTCTGGGAATGTGTGCCGTGTCCTCTCCCGGGCTTTTACGACTCCCTGGTTTCGTCCTTTGTGAACTCGTCAGCGCGCGCAGCATACACAGAGAAAATGAGGCCAGACCTGTGATTGTTTTATAATTTTTTTCTATTTTGCTGTTGCTGCGAACCCTTGTGAAGTTAGTTGTGTGGCGGCTGTTGCGCTCATGCCGTCATGGTAATGTTGTTAGCGCTGTGTGTTGATTGAGCAGTTTTTGGTTGGTGTCAAAGTACGAGCTCGCACCTGCTCTCGTGCAAAGCTCTAGACTACAGCTCGCTAGTGATGTCGGCCGCGTTTCGAAATAATCCAATGCTTTGTTGTTCACAGTACCCGGGAGAAGCACAATTCTCTCAATAGTCAATACAACTAACTACATGTACATGACTGTCCAATCCACATATTGAAGACAGCGCGGCACATTCTGAGAATCTGATTGCACTGCGCAATCTCACTCACCAATATTATTATTTCCTGTAGTCTGCGCATTCTGCCATTTTGGGGTGACACGAAAAGTATTACTAGTACGTAGTAGTAATAACTAATAGTAATATGCCACAAGGCCAGGCATGGTGTACAGCTAGCTACGCTACAGCTAGCGGCTGCGAGTCACAACATCCCCAGCCCTACCCGTCCTCAGCCTCAGGCCCTGAGATATCTGGACTGGGCATGTTCTTCTCAATCTCAGGACTCTTTTTCAAGTTTTTGACATGACAGACACGACGAAAATCATCTACAGCCAGCCTAGCCTAGGCTAGGAGCCAGGGCCTAGCCAGGTCATCCGTACAGTGCACGGTGCAGGAGAGCAGTCACTGAGACAGTCTGTAAAAAGACTGTATCGTGCTTTCAAACATATCACGTGCTTGTTGCCATCCGACGGCCAATCAGCATCGACTTGGACCAGGGCAGAAATTGTGTGTATTTACGTCATCAGTGCATGCATGCTAGCTGCTCCGAAATCTGACACACATCGCACACGTACAGACAGGGGCCCGGGCATGGCTGTGCGTGAGAGACTCAGTATTACTATTAGTATTAGTAACCACCGGACGGCGTGAGTGCTTGGGTATACCATAATTATCATAATATGGGTCTTGATCATCTCATCAATCAATCCGTGCCCTCATCATGCGCTACATCAGAGTAGATCTGCAGTGTACAAATGGTGTAGGCTACCAGGGAACACAACATTTTGACAGCTCCGGTACGCGGTCGGCAAGCTGAAACAGTGAAAGCGACTCCCCTGCCCCCTCCCCCCCCCCCCCCCAAGCCAAGAGGGTGGGCTAGGGGCTGGACAAACTGCTTCCAGCCCTGCCAGATGCTGCTGCCCGGAATGCCATGGACATGTCCGGCTATGTCACAGTATGTGTTAGCTTGACGTGGCCGTGAGAGTGTTGTGGGTCTATGGCTAAGGTAGCGCCAAATTCCTGATAAAAAGTAAGAGGACGTCCTTTGAAAAGCAGGAGCATTTCAGTTATCCACTCACTCCACTTACACATCACCACAATAGTCAATAGCGAGGACTCGTGGTTTGACGAATTTGGCAATACATGACATCATTGCATCTACATCTCAAGGGAATTACTTCTGCTATGGTGAGGCGCGCATGCGTCCGTGTGACAGAGTGTGTGCGTGTGTGTGTGTGTGTGTGTGTGTGTGTGTGTGTGTGTGTGTGTGTGTGTGTGTGTGTGTGTGTGTGTGTGTGAGAGAGAGAGAGAGAGTGTGTGTGTGTGTGTGTGTGTGTGTGTGAGAGAGAGAGAGTGTGTGTGTGTGTGTGTGTGTGTGTGTGTGTGTGTGTGTGTGTGTGTGTGTGTGTGTGTGTGTGAGAGAGAGAGAGAGAGAGAGAGAGAGAGAGAGAGAGAGAGAGAGAGAGAGAGAGTGGAGGGAGGGGGTCAAGTATACTCATCAGCTAACATGCATGTGACGTAACAATTACGTACACCAAATCCAAGATAAACCCTCAAAGACTATTAAAGAATGCTTCCAGAACACCACCAATAGGCAAAAGACTAGCTGATCACGCAGATGATGAGTTGAAACAAGAGTAGATAAACAAGAGTGTGCAACTCGCGGATGGGTTGGCCCACGGCGGAATTTTTTGTTGACGTAATCTTTTCGACGACGCACGCGCTGCGAGTCTTTCGGAAAGTTTTCCCTCGTGCTCTTGGCCGGGCTTTACACTACAAGGTCGGTGTCCAGCACGTGCTCTCACACTGCTCTGCGGCAAACTGCGCGTTTCTCTGAAAAAAGGTGACGTCAACAAAAAATTCCGCCGTGGGCGGGGGTATCTGCAGATTGTGCAGGAGAGATCCGGAGTTGCACACTCTTGTTTATCTACTCTTGGTTGAAATCAAGTGAAAGTACCGCGCTTTACGGTTAATTGCCATGGACTCAAAAAAATGTCTGAGTTTAATCAGACATTCTGCAAGTGTGACAACGTACTAAGTATCCCGATCGCCACTTTTCATTCTTTTAAATATAAAGACTTCTCTAGACTAGAACTTGTAGTAGAAATAGGTTTTTCATTTGACCTGACGAGACCACACGACGCTTGCGGACGACAGTACGGACAGTTCACCAGCCACGCTCCACGTTCGCAACTAGAAATTGTGTTGCAGATTGTTGCTGCAGTGCATCCGTGAATGTCTTGTCATGGTCATGGCAAGTACCTGGACTTCTTGTCCAAGGTCTATGGAGATTGTTGCTGCAGTGAATGTCTTGAATGTCTTGCTGCGGTCATGGCGAGTGCCTGGACTTCTTGTCCATGGAGATTGTTGCTGTAGTCCATCCGTCAATGTCTTGTCAACGACCGTCATGGCAAGTACCTGGACTTCTTGACCATGGAGATTGTTGCTGTAATCCATCCGTCAATGTCTTGTCAACGACCGTCATGGCAAGTACCTGGACTTCTTGACCATGGAGATTGTTGCTGTAATCCATCCGTCAATGTCTTGTCAACGACCGTCATGGTAAGTATAATCATGTTCATGCACCCGGATTTCTTGTCCATGGAGATTCAGTTGCAGATTGTTGCCAGTGCATCCATCAATCAATGTATTGTCACGTTCACCCTCATGGCAAGTACCCAGACTTCTTGTCCATGGCGGTGCTGGGCCGCTGCAATCCCCTCGAGCCGCTGACATCACCGCCGACACCGCCGCGTAGGCGCTGACGGATTCTCTCCTGCTCCTCGGTGCCGGCTCTCACCACGCGCGGCTGCTCGCCAGGCCCGCCGGGAATGGGGACGGAGTCACCTTGCTGCTGCTGGTGATGTCGTCGTTGCTCGCTGTCACCTCGAGGTGGAGCGCGCGATGATGCCGTCGGTCTCTTGTCGCCGCCGTGACCCGAGCCGCTGCTGCTGCTGGTAGTCTTCCTGCTGAGCAGTTGTAGTGAGGCACGTGCGGTCACCGGTCGCACAGGTCGTCGATACTGGGGCGGAGGTGGGCCGTCCGGTGGTGGAGGCAGTTGTCCAATCATCACGTTGCTCTCCGATGCTCGCCGCGAGGCCGCCTCCTGATGCGCGGCGCCGCGAGCGTCTGAAGTGTCGACGCTCGGTGTTCTCGGCAGCTTGCGAACCTTCCGTGCGGAACGCGACGATGCTGACGAAGGCGATGGTGGTGGTGGTGGCTGGCCGCCGTGAGCTTGGCCGACTGACGCTCCGTCGCGTACGGGGCTGAGCTGTGTGGCCTGCCGCAGTAGCTCCTCGCCTGTGTCAAACGTCTGTCTCCAGTGTCGCAGCTCGTCCAGCACCTCCGACCTCTGCCGTCCAGTATCGGCCATAACCGGCGTGATAATATGACTCGATGATGCTGCTGCTGCTGTCGACGGCGCCATGTCTCCCCGCGCCTGCTGCCTGTGTGCATGCCTGCTGTCGCTGTTGCTGCTGCTGGTGGTGCTGCTGCTGCTGCTGCGGTCACCCTTGCTGGCTTTCTTTGGCGCTGTCGTGTGGCATGCCATGCTCTTCTCATCACCCACCAGTGCAGCAGCAGCAGTAGCATCACCAGCAGACGTTATTGCTACGCGTGGTTCATGCCGACGTCGCTCCCCATCGGGGTCCTGGTCGTCGCCGCCGTGAAACACTCTGTGGCTAAGCGATGATGCCGGACGCTGGTGGAGACGGCGCAGTGCACGAGACGCCGTTCCCTGCATGACCTCGCCCGTTGCCACGAGTGACGAGCTCGAGGCGGAACCGCCACCGCCTGCTGCTGATTCCCTGCCCTCTCCAACGCCACCGCCGCCGAGCACGCTCGAATCCATTTCGTCCTCGCTCAGGTCCGGTAGATCATGCATGGATTCCGTCAGTTTGGATCCCTGCAGCGCGAGGCCACGCGCCGACAGAGGACGCACACCTCTGCGGCTGCTTGGCGCCGACGCCTCATCGTGCACTCGCACTCCGGACGACGTCATCGGCCGTTGCCTCGACGACGGTGCCGCGGATTTCGGACGCGCACGCTGAAGCGACGCGGCCGTAGAAGGTCGGGCCGCGCCGAGTGGCGCCTCATCAAGGACCTTCAACCCGGGCATGTAGCGTCGCACCGTTGCGACGTAGTCGTAGCCGGGCGTGGGGTCCGGGTCCGAGGGCGTGGGCCGCGTGCACAGCGGGTTGCCCAGTAGGGTCAGTGTGTCGAGACCAAGGCACAGCGCCAGGCACCCAATCTGCGACAGTGGTGGGCAACAGAGTGCAAAGAGAACACCAATCATAAGTAAGACCAGCAAGTACATGTCCGTATTTTACCGGTTAGAAGTCGACCCCCCCCCCCCCCTCTCCCCCGCATCTTGAGGTCTTAATTCTGTTTTTAAGGGTTTCATTCAACGAAGCACTGCTAACCACCCCCTGCTATTAACACATCAATAAATCACATAACACACTCCTCATTGGAGTCTGTCCACTTCCTTGAAAAAGGCTTAGGCTGAATACTGGATAGCTGAGCGTTTACATGAAGACAGTTGACCCGGGTCGAATACTGATATACCGCCAAAAGTTCACTTCTAGAATCCTGTATGGTCACGTGAATACTTTCGCGCGAAATTTGCATGTGCAGTGCTGTTCAAACCTGGCGCGAGATACGCACAGAAGTACGTTGGTACGATTTTCTTGCCCCGGGTTGATTTCACCCCTCCCCTGGGGGGGGGGGGGGAGGGGTGAACTCAACCCGCGCGAAATTTCAACCCGGGTCAAGCGCAATGCGTCATGTAAACGCGTCATTCACTTTGTGTTCATGGCGGGTTGAAATCTGACCCGGGTTGAAACGCCTCATGTAAACACAGCCTTATAAACTGGCAAAAAATGCGTACGCATGGTGCACTCGTGCATGCAGTGCAGGTTGTTATCGGAAGATACCGATAGTTCCCGGTTATAAGTCGAATTCTGGTTGTAAGTCGACCCTCACCAATTCTCCTATTTTTAGTCGCAAAAGGTCGACTTATAGTAGGGATCTCAGCGCAAGCAGTGCGCAGGGTGTTTGTGCATACATTGCGTCATCGAGTTTTGAGTGCAGCTCGCGGACACAGCAGAAAATGGCAACGGTCGATTTTCGACACTAGCGGAAGCGGTGGACACTAGCGGAATCGTCATCTTCATCGTCGTTCGAACATACTTTGTGATTCCCGCCGAAGGACAGCGTGGCCAAGGCGATATCGTCCCGGTCATTTTCATAATTTGCCATGCGGCAAGAACCCACTTCAGAGAGGATTCAGTCAAAAATTCAGACGTTTTCTCCGGTTAGATTGTCCTAACTTCGATTTTCAGTGCATCAGCCATCGCGAACATCGCCGCCATTATCACTCAGAGAGAAGACATCGCGCTCAGTAGAAGAGGTGTTCACACTGCGTCCATGAGTGAAATGTTGTGCTCTTTAACCCTCCATAGTTCCTCTGAGAGAGTGTCTGGGAGATAGGTAGCTTGGAGATGGCCGTAGAACGTGCTTTCCTGGACGCAACATTCAGCCATTTCTACTGTCTTCTTCAACTTGATTTATTTTGAAAAAATGTTCTTTTCCACGGTTTCTGCACTGGACGCGTTTGGGATCGAAATCTCACCTGCGCAAATTGGCTGCGCAGTTCACGCGCTGAGATCCCTACTTATAGGCTAAGTTGTAGCGTTCAACGCGGCTGCAGCAGCAGCAGCAGCAATGTCAGGAACAGAAGCATTAGTAGAAGCTACAACACCAACGACGACGACGACAACAACAACAACAACAACAACCCCCTCGCAAACCAGAATGCGTGGAGCACACACACCATTGGACCATTGGACGCCCATCGCCGGAGGCGATGATAGCGATGCTACAGCAGAAGCCATAGCAGCTTGTGCTGGGATTGCACCATTCAACAGCTTGCAAGGCTGAAGAATTGACCACCACTATTCAGCCTGGTCTACACCACACAGCTATGAAGTGGCTTTTTCTGGCCAGTGAATCCCTACTTTTTGGTCTTTTTTAATTTTTTTTTCCCGCACACACATCACACCACATACTCCGGCATGCACTGGCTGTTGGTAACCACCCAGGAGAATGAAAGAAAAGTCAGGAAGAGTCTGAGAAAGAGAAGAAAGACGTGTGTGACCATAATCGTCGGGAATCGAACCCGCAACCTATCGATTGGAAATCGCTGCACATACCACTGCACCATATGGGACACACACCTTGGTCCTTGGTAACACTGCCATCAAATGGTCACGTGTCCCCTGTGCAGGGGTCGACAGCACTGAGTTCAGCATTGGATCCAGAAACGCCGCTCTACTTCCTGGACAGGAAATTAGCACAGCTATGCAGGTCGAAACCACGGGATGACTTGCAGCAGCGACCGCAGCCGAGACAATGCGCTCTGCAGCAGGGCAGGGCAACCCGCTGTTTCCGGACCGAGTCTGCCGATGACACAGCCGAGACCGACGCCACTTCAGCAGCCGAGTTGGAGAGACACTTATGCGAAGCTAGCCCGCCAGCACTCAAGAACCATCTCCCGCACGCATTACATAGTCGGCTGCCGGACTGCTCAGATATGGGCTTCCTCCTCTCGGCCAGGCACTTGTGGCGATTCTTGTATTTCTGGTGGGCGAAAGTACGCTGGCGAACATCGCAGAGCACAGAAGTGTCACGCTGAGCCGATCGCAGTACTGGTTGAGCGGAATACGCACTGCGCCATTTCCCACGCTCCTGGGCGAGGTCGTACCATTCCGTGTGGTCGATGTTCACTGCGGAGAGGTCAGCTCTGACAGAGTCTCGCCACCGTTTCCGAGGACCGCAAGCCGGCCTCGGCAGAAGGAGCGCACCAAACAGGAGCTGGCGCGGAGTTCTATCGCCGTCCATCCTAGCTAGATGGCCTAGCCACTCCAGACGGCGGCGAAGAACACGTGTGGTAATATCCACTGGATCTCGACGATTCCAGGCCTCCAGAATGGTCTTCCTGTTGATGTGGAAGTCCCAGGTGTCTCTTCTACCGAGGGCTAAGATTGCGGAAATGCAGCGAAGATGGAAGGCGGACAGCGCCGCAAGCTCGCTTTTCAGTGGTACCCAACACTCCGCTCCGTAAAGGAGAAGAGAAGCCACGCATGCATCATACACCATTCGCTTCGTTGGCAGTGAAAGATCGCCATCATCAAAGACAGATCGACGCAATGCTCCGAATGCCCTAGATGCTGACGCTATTCGGGACCGAGTGTCCACTGCGGTGCGGCCACCAGTATGGATGATGGAGCCCAGGTAGCGAAAGTCATGCACATTCTCGACAATTTCCCCGCCAACCACCAATGGACGACGATCCTCCGGAGAAATGCCGAAGCCGACCGCCATTACTTTGGTTTTTGATAGGTTGATGGTGAGGCCGAAGCGAGTTGCGACGTCCATGAACCGGCACACACACACACACACACACACACACACACACACACACACTGACACACACACACACACACACACACACACACACACACACCACCACCACCACCACCACCACCACACACACACACTGACACACACTGACACACACACACACACACACACACACACACACACACACACACACACACTATCCTCCTACCTGCCCTATATCATCGATGCAATTCCCCTCCAGGTCAATCACTCGCAGCTGATCTGCCGACAACAGGGAGTTGAGGTCAGACACGAAATTGTGCGCGGCATACAACTCCAGCAGGTTGGGCATTCCCATCAATCCGTCCAACGTATGGAGACCACATCCGGCTATGCCTAGAAACTGCATTTATAAAATCGCAAACACAAGAGCGAGTAGACACAATTCAATTCAATTTTTTAATTTTTTTCTCCTCAGACTTCGACAGCGAACAATTTTTAATCTTTAATTTTTATTTCACCATCCAATGGCAAAAGCCAATGCAAAGTAGGGGGGCGTTAGCCAGCCATGGTTAGTCTGGAAGCAGGGGCATCGGACACGCTACGGTCACTACGGCATTGACCGTACCACTCTTTGTCTCGGATACCCTGTGAGTGAATAAAAAGCACTGATCTGGGCTCCAAATTTTGAAATATTTCACCGGAGCCAGCCCAACCCCACGAGTAATTTGTACTTCAGGTGGCTAACCGGACCACCCTAAAATACCTTCCGACGCCTTTGTTAAGTGAATGTATGATTGCAGTAAGTGATACAGAAGATTTTCTAAAGTTCCCTCAGCTAGAAAGCCATTCACCCTGTGGGCGTCTCGCAGTCGAAATCAATCGTTTCATTTTTATTTTTTATTTTCATATACAGTATTTGCATGCAGTGTGCACTAAATGGATCGTAATTCAGAATTCAACACAAAAATTATTATGAAGAGTTTAGAGGCAAAACGCGGATAAAACAAGATTTCAAACAAAAACACCAGACCGTGTGAACTAACCAACAGCTTGTCGAACTGCGAGCCGACATCGCGCAGCGACTTCAGCGGACTGCCGTTGAGCTTGAGGTGCTTGAGGTTGGGCACGTGAGAGCCAAAGTTGCCCAGCGACTGGTGGTGCGTGTTCACCTGCAGCTCCAGAAAAGTAATCGTTCCCAAGTCGGCGATGCCGGTTATGCCGCTCAGACGGCCCTGGGACAGATAGTTCTCTTCGCGCATCAGCATCTCTCCACCGTAGCCGTCCGTCTCGTGATCAGCGCCACCGAGATCAACGCCACCGTCACCTGTGTTTCCATGGTAACCCGAGTCCTCGTTCAGATCTGCGGAAAGAACGACGAGCAGGGAAGACGGTGAGGGGGCACGTGCACAGACACGGAGATTAGAAATGAAATCGGCGGCAGAGTTATGGTACATTTAGTGATATGGGTGCGTCAAGTTGGCCTGTGTCAAAATATTGAGCACCGAAAGCACCCCTGCTATTTTTGACCTAGCTAGAACCCTGCACCGCACATTGCTTCCATTGCACACAGCAAAAACACAACAGCACATAATAGCCACCACTTCATTCCTTGGTGCTGGCCGTTTTAATGCGCTTCCCGAATCCCTTCGCACAAATCATATCCCCAATTCATTTCACCAGGAACTTAACAAATTCATTCATCTTGGGCACCCTGTAAGAAGACCTTAGGGTCTGTTGGGAATGCCCAAGTAAAATAATAAAATTCTATACAAAATACAATACTCACGGGAGAATGAGCTCCGCGACATGGAGCTGGCAGTGCCGGGGCGGAGGTTACCGAGGCGGCTATGGTTTCGTCGTGACGGCGGCACCTGCTGCATGGACGGCAGTGCCGGTTGGGATATCGTCATCCTGTCGTCGAGGTGAGCGGACAGAGAGTCGCTGGTGGTGACGTCGTGAAGGTCGTCGTCGAGCAGCGTTGGACCAGCGAGCACGCTCTCGCTGCGTACATGCACAGGCGACGGGTTCGCTCGTTCGCTGCGCTCGTAGTGCGTGATGTGGATACGCGCCGTCGCTGCGGGCTTGCCGTTCCGACTGGCGCTGGCGACGGGGGCTGTTGTTGCATCAGCTGTGTGCGCCACAGCAGCATCCACCGTTGCCGCAGCCGTGTCCATAGTATCAGATGATGCTGTTTTTGTCAGGCCCGGCAGAGTGGCTGTGGCTAGCTTGGTTGCCATTGAACTGGTGCTGGATAGGAAGGAGTTTGAAAAGCAGAGAAAGCGGCCATGTGTCAGTAGTTGTGTCTTACCCTCCATGTAAGTGGGTACCCCAGGGCCGGAGTGAGAGTGAGAGAGAGAGAGTGTGTGTGTGTGTGTGCATGCGCGTGAGAGAGAGAGAGAGAGAGAGTGAATGAGAGGGGGCGGATCAACGGGACCGTACGGTGTATATGCAACTCCAGCCCAAGCTGCAGCGAGCAAGTTAGCCCGCAAACAGTGTTAATAAGGCCAAACTAAAGAAGGTGTGTGGTTCGACTAACATGGACATTTTTTTACGGGCGGGCGGGCGGATTTTTTTTTTTTTAATATATATTTTTAGTACATGTAAATACACTGTATACGCGTATCGAGTAGACTCTACTACCAGCACAAGGCAGCAGTCGTACCACTCACTGCACTGCACTGCAGTACAACTACAAGTCAAGTCCAAAAGGAGCCGCCTGCGTCCGCAGACTCACGCCGCACAGCACGTAGACGTGGACGTGTTCAGTCCACGTACGTCAGTCACACGACAGCCCGCCGAAAAAAAGTTACGGTCGGGCTGAAATTGTACGGTCGGTCGGGTGAGTCGAACCACACACCTTCTTTAGTTTGGCCTAAGTGCATATTTTATAGAAGGAATGCAGTGTCAACACCATCATAATTTTACAATTCCTCTGTATACTGGCCCGGGCTAGTCTGTGTACGTGTGCGTTTTCTGGACCACCTGGCCGGGATCCTGGGTGCTTCGGACCGGGGAATCCTGGCCAGCCCGCTCGGCATGTCAATACGCAACACATGGTTTGGCTGATTACAATACGGTAATAGTTGTACATGCCCGAGATGCCGGATGCAGCGGGCTGGCCCGCATGTTGACTAGCCCGAACTGGAGCTGTGCACATACTTGTACTTGTACATGTAACCACCCTGTTACAATGATCACACAGCAATGTCTCGACTTGCTGTCTGATGAGTGTGTTTCACACGAAACTCTGAGTAATGGCGGAAAAGAACGTGGTTGTGTCATTGCCGTGTGATCATTGCATTACCGGCTCTGTCCACTGGACGTAGAGCACTATACGCAGCCTGAGGATCTTAGACAACTGTCTAATCACCCCGTTATATAGTCCATAGGTTGACATGTATGGGATCTCTCTGCAGGCTCTCTCACAATCAGTGACCCATAGCTAGCATGGTGATAATGATACAGCAAGGGTACTCATACCTCCGTTTTCCGGACACCGAAGTTACGGGCACTTTGGTCTACCGGGCACCCGTTGGGCGAGTTTTAGTTGAAATATTACTACTCTTTTGTCACTTTTTGTGGAAATAGTGACGTCGTATGCCATATCTATGGCCTTTCCCCATCAAAATGTATGTGATTCGGAGTTACGTAGATTTCGAAGTTGCGCAAAGTGCCCGGTCCCGGACTGCCCGGATAAATAAGGCATAAGTGTAGTTTTAGGAGTCCGCTAGAGTGCAGTGCTAGCGCCGGCGTGGTGTAGACCAGCGACTGTTTGGTGTTATCACTGTACTCAACACTGGACTAGTACCCACAGTAAAACCTGTCAAGCTATGGAGTGCGGTGTAGCCACCCTGTTCCACTACACGCTGCACACTGTACTGTCACTCAGTCCCTAGTCTCTACTATACTAATATTATTGTATTGTACATCATCGTACAGTAAAACCTGTCAAGGCGACCACTCGGATAAGGCGACCACCTGTTCCTGTAGACCACTGCAAACAGGACCAAGGGATGCTATTTTCAGTCGAACGTCCCTGGATAAGGAGACCACCTGGTAACAGAGACCATGTCTTGAAGGTTCCTTGAGCGGTCGTCTTAGACAGGTTTCACTGTACACTGTACCTAGCGCTGCCCAGCAGTGTAACACTAATAGCGCGCCTACCTGTGTCAATGCACACACATGGAGCACTCAGGCGTTCCGCTACAACGACTGCTGCCACTACGAAACACCGGCCTCTTCTTTTTGTCTTCTTCTGCGAGATAATCACCAGCTAGCTATCGCTGCCTGCAATCATTCCCACATCGACAACCGTGAATTGGAGACCGGCGGGTTAGAAACACTACGGGGCCTCGTACCAGCTACGTCCACTGAATGGCGCGCACCGCAATGATGGACAATACTTGGAAATTGAAATACAGTACTAGGAAACCTACTGCTCAATCTTTTCAGCTCCAATTGGTTCACTTGGTATGGTCACTACTATTACTACTACAGTACTATGGACCTCTCGATGAAATAATTCACTACTCGGTGGGATAAAATGAGTTTTCCCAGGTCCACTGCTTCGCCAAGTCTGGCGAGCTATGTACAATGATTATGAAATCGTTGTAGTGACCAGGTGACAAGGCGAGGAGAAATACAAGCAGTCTTTGACTCCGGGTGCTACGAACGAGAAGAACTCAGCCTCAGGGCCTAGCGTGACCAATTCGTCCTCACTTCTTTCAACTATTACTTCAGTCTTCAGTAAAGTAAGTTCGCAACTAATTTACTGACACAACAA